GCTCTTTAAATCAGGAAATAGCATAGTCAGGTATATCCTTGAGGACCCCTTTTCATCTCCCTGTCTGTGGTGAATGCAGCACTACCACACATGCTCTGGAACGTTTTACATTTTTTAATATTTTAGACAAACAATGTCAATATTCCAATGGTCACAGCTGGACCATGTCAATACCATCTTTCTGTTAAGATACTTTTTTTAAACCATAGTGGATTGAATTTAAGCATTTTAGTGAGGTTATTGGGACAGCTAGTAACTGAGGAAAAACTACCTAGCTGCAGTGTACAATACATGTTTTGGCGGGAAAATACATGCCCTTACGTCAACTCCGTCAGACGTCAACTCCGTCAGGTTCTATGTCTGACGGAGTTGACCTGTAAGCTGACGGAGTTGACAAATCCACCAATAACCTCTTAACCCTTTAAGGTACTACTCAACCATTTGGTAGACCACACTTATGCGAACATAATATTATTTGTGAATATAGTGAAGGGTTAAACTGTTATTTCAGGGTTTTATTTACACATAAATGCACATACATAGCATGCATTACATTATTTAACCATACACATATCCGACGCCTGCTGCTCAAGGCATAACAAGACAAAGACAAAAATGAAATCTTAAGTAAGCTAATTGAACCTGATTCTAAGCTACAGATTATGTGTTGCAGTATTGTTGTCAAGGAATGTCAATTTAAGATCACACCCAGTATAAAGTAGGCAGTGCAGGGCAATCACACATCCAACACACACATACGCACACACACACACACACACACACACACACACACACACACACACACACACACACACACACACACACACACACACACACACACACACACACACACACACACACACACACACACGCCACTTTAAAGTAAATGGCTACTTACAAAGGAGGAAAGGAAGAGGAGAAGAGGTGGATGAGAAAAAGGAGAGCAGGAAGTGGTATAGGGGAGGTAGATGAAAACAGAGGGGGAGGAGGGCCCCTGGTTTCCCTTATTGGTATTTTTTTTATAGTTGGAAACGGTGTAATTTATAATAGTTGGAAACGGTGTATGTGCAATATGTTTATTATAGTTTGCTTTACAGTAAGTTCAATACTCTAATAACAAGGAGTAGTTTTAGTAGTAGTTTAAAGAGCACATCTGAGCACATCACAATGCACACATATTTTTTGTCAACACCGTCATATCTTCATCAACAGCGTTGGATGTATGTTTTTGTTTTTGTTAATTTTTTGGGGAAAGAAATGTTCTTCCTTCAGTTTATGTTGTTTTTGTAATAAAGGACCATCTGATCTACATCTTCTTATGTTTTATTTATTTAAGGAATTTGTTTTTACAATATTGAAATTAAAATCAAAGTTTGAAAATACAAATATTTAGAAATCTGAGTTTTCAGAATAGTGTGAAATCACAACTTAAGTTTATATATTGTATTTTTTTACATATCAGAGTAACTGAACACTATTACAATATACTTCAGAACTTTAGATTCTTGTTGGATTGGAAGAATTAAAATTGTATACTTTTTAATGTGTCTGACGGAGTTGACACAAATTCAGTTCTGAAGGGAAACGTGTTTATTTGTTAAAAATGTGTTTTTATTTAGAACCTGTTCCTTAACATGGTTAAATAGCTAAGACCTTTCTCTGCAGAAACATACAACTCTAATTGATATAGTGTGTATTTAAAAAAAAAAAGTTTTTTAAAACGTGTTTTGTCCCGACTCTCAAGAATCAGTGGTATGCATTGAGCAGATGCTTTTATCAAAAGTCCATTTAAATCATAGATTTTACCAATATAGATGTTGCCTGGGAATGAAACCCTTGTTGTCACAATGTTCTTGCAACTGACCTACATGAATATAAAAAGGCAATCTATGTATGAGAAGCTATGCTATACTGTGCATATGACATGCTGTGGCGTCTGTTAGGTGTGACATGCATTTAATATTTATAGATGATTATTATTGTATAAACTAGCACAACCATTTTCAACACTGAAAATAAGAAATGGTAATAATCAATTGTAATAATATTTCGTGATATTAGTGTTTTTACTGTATTTTTAATTCAAATAAATGCAGCCTTGGTGCAAAAAATCTTACATTACGGTAGTGCATATTATAAATATAATATTTTTCCTATAATCTGGTACCTTAAATTCTTTTAAAATAAAAAACGATTAAATAAATATATCGATAAAATAAATGTATGTGCTAAAACTATTAATATGGGCAAAGTGAAATTTCATCACGGGTAAAACAGGTTGTTGGTTATGCAAGGAATATATCCATATGGAATTATGTTTCTTTATATATTCATGATCCTTTTCCATGACCCAATGAATTGAGGTTAAACTGCAACAAATTTAATTTTGTTCCGACATCAAATTCTCTGGTCATGCTCATGAAGGTTTAGTTTAACAGTATTTAATGTGAAAACAAGGAGGAGCAAACGGCTTATAACTGGCCTAAGGTCAAGGAATGGG